TCGGTGCTGTCGACAGGGTAGTACTTGTCATAGAAGTCCAGGATGTACTCTTCAGCCTTGAAACCAAACTTCTGATACAACAGCATGGCGGGATTACTGGCCGACACGTGTAGCGTCACGTCCTTCCCCATACACGTCTGAAACACACACACACACAGATGTGACCGCTAACACACACCAGCACAGTCTGACAAGAGTTCCAATGTTCTCAATGTAACTGTGGAGATTATATTTGATCTGTGAGCTCGACTCGATGTTATTCGACTTTTAAGACTGACCGTCGTTACATCCACCAACAAGGGCTGTTGGACACCACGCCCTCTGGTGGCTTCCAGATGATTACAGCCCATTCAAGTCAATTTGTATAGTTCCAATCATAATGTCCATGATCTCAAGGCTCTTTACATAGATGGTCAAGAGCTTCAGATCTGATTTAATATAGAGAAACCAACAGTTCAACAATGAGCAGCACTCTCGTTAACAGAGAGAAACCTCTAGAACCAGGCTCAGTGTGAGACATGTTCCTCCACCGGGGGGTGAGCAGAGAACAAACCGTTACTGTCGTCACACAGCTGGTTAGCAACAGCTTCCTCTAGGATTTTGATTGACAAGTTGTTGGTTTAGATGATGAAACTAATGACGTCAGTTCAGAAGATCAATAGAAGAAAAATGGTTCAAATAAAAATCTGGTGCTCCAGGTGGGTCAGTGGTTTGAGGACTAGACGATGTATCTGTGCTGTTCATGGGGACGAGGTGGTGGATTGTTTCCCTGATGGTTTTGTTTTATTTGGGAAGAAGTTCATGAAACCAGCTGTTTGACCTGTGACCCCAGCGATGACCTGACCTGCAGCGCCTCACCTGGATGAGGTGGTAGATCATGAAGGTGCCGATGCCAGCTCTTCTCCACTCAGGGTGGACCTGCAGGAAAGAGATGTAGGCCTCGTTGTATTTAACATCCGGCACCATGAAACCAAAGCCAATCACGACTTTCTTGTAGAGAACGACCACGCTGAAGTCCGGGTACTGCAGACACTCGGAAAGGTCCACACCTGGAGGAGGAGGAGTAATGGCGGTATTGGAGACCGATAGATTGGGGGGCAGTTGTGTGTGAGTAGAAGGATGCATCTGTGCTACCTGGCCAGAAGCTGTCGTGACACATGGCGTTGACAGAGGGGATGTGGTTTGGTCGGACGTAGCAGTAGTCGATGGGGGCGTTGGGCTCCGGGACCCAGTCTGGCTCAGCTCTGTGAGGGTGGGCTCGGATCTCTGCCAACAACTTGAGCTTCACCGGACGACTCTCGTAATCCCTCCTTAAGAACAACCACAGATGAGTTACAGATCTTCTACTTCTACTGAAGTGTTTTGGGAAACTTTACCTGATGAACGGTTTGAGGATTCGGGACGTATACGGACTCTTGATGCTCTGGTCCAAACTGCCCTCAGCTCCCATCAGACGGTGCCAGAAGGACACAGACGGCTGCTGGACACCTCGTCTGCTGGAGACGTTGGTCTGAACACAAACACAGTTTAGATTTCCATTCATGCCACAGAATTCGAGGAGCAGACTTAACGAAGGTTGTCCTGACGTCACGCTGCTCCTGAATATTAACAGTGGTGAAGGCATCGCAGCGATTGGATGTATGAGGATGAACGTACCTGGAAGCGATCAAGAATTCGCAGCTCCTGGCTGTTGGTGCAATACTTCCCCATGACGCCACCTCCCATCAGTGTCCCCGCCTCCTGGGCACCATAAATCCCTCCCACCAGGCTGAGAGTGGCGTTGACTGCCCGGTCGATGTCCAGCAGGGGGAGTCCTCTCTGCCTCTTGGCCTGGCGGATTAACAGCTTCCTGTGAAGGCGTTTAGCCTGCGGGGTGACGGCCAAGGCCAGCGGGCAGGCGTCCAGCCGGCGCAGCAGCATCCTCTCTTCATAAAGAGTGAGAGGTGCATAGCGAGGATTCTGGGAGATGCCACCAGATCCGTCTGCTTTGTCAGGATGAGTAATCCTCCGCCGCTCAGGACCCCCAGCACCAACACACCCCCCAGCAGAGAGAGACAGACCTTCACCTCGTCCCGCCGGCTCCTCAAAGTCGTCCTCATGCTCACGACCGTCATCCTCCTCGCTGTCTGCTTCACGCTTGATGTGAGGAGGTGCTTGGCGGAGCTTCTTACGGCCAACAAGACTGGCACTTGGAGGAGGAATGTACTCCATCCCAGGGTCAATCATTCCCTCAGCCTCGATCTCCTCGTCGTCTGGAGGTTCAGGCACAGAGGAAACGCCATCAGTGCTCACATCTTGCTAAAACTCACATCGTACAGAAATCATGTGGACGATTCACAAGTTAACTCACCATGGAACAGCGCCTGCGGAGGCATCGCATCAGGGATGAGGTCTGCCTCTGACAAAAGGCTGGGTGTAGCTGATTGAGACGCCGGTGTCCCCGGGGCGGAGAAGTCGAGTGAAGGTGATGGTGAAGGGCTGGTGAGCGGTGTTCGGTCTGAGGAGCTGAGGGAGGAGAAGTCAATGACCTCACCTTTCTCCAGGATGAGATCGGGCCGGCGTCCGGTGCTCCCGCCTCGACCTCCGCTCAGTTTGACGGGTGTAGAGGAGGCACTGCGGTCGGTGTAGCCTCCCACTGCCTCCTTCTGAGCTCGTCGGATGTCTTTGGCCTCCTGAGTGCGAGAACGCTTCTCCTTCAGCTGCATGGCGTTTTCCACAGGGTTTCTGGCTCCACGTTTCCTCAGACCCTCCACGGTGATGATCGGGTCCATGACAGGTTTGGAGGCTGAAAGGAAACAAGTTAAATTTGGTTAATTGCCCGTTTTAATTTCAATTACATCTGTAGGCAGAGAGCTCCTGGTACCTTTAGTCTTAGTGGTGGATTTGTCCACCTCTGGTCTCAGGGTCGGAGGTCGGTTCTGGACCAGTTTCCACCAGCCGGGTTCACCAAACTCCTGTGCTCCAGAGCGGAAGAAGGTGGGACTACCGACCGACAGGCAGCCGGCAACTGTGCTCCACCACGTCGAAGTTTTCTTCCTGTGGAGTTAGAGCGTCATCAGACCTGCACTGAACACCAAATAGTTTCCTAAAATTACCCGGAGGGGCTGTACGAGAGGACGTAAACATCAAATTCAGTTTGTGATGACAAGCTCCGGAGATTCTCCTGCAACAACAACATTGATCTTTTCACAGCAGAGTTTAGACGTCATGTCCCGCCTCCTGCTGCTCTACAGGCTCCGCCCCTCATCTGAATGTCCCCCACATGTTCCTGTTGTTGTGAACGAGTCGACAATCTGCTACACAACATGTCTACACAACATGTCAGGACAATCTGCTGCTGCTTCACAGGACACAATCAGGACCTCTCTGTTCTCAGTCAACCGTTGTCACTTCCCTTTTAATCCTAATCCGTTCACACATGATCACAGGAGCCACATTCTAACTCTGCAGGTGTAAACTGTGAACAGGAGCAGAGAAAAGGATGTTGGGAGGACGACTTGTACGTTTGAGAAGCTTTAGATTTCACACCTAATAATAAAATATTATTTTCACAAACTGAAATCTAAAACTAACCTTGTTCCCAGCAGGAAGTTCCAGTGTCGACCAATGAAAGCACAGATATCCTCCTTCCACCTGAAGTAACCCTGACGACCCGTTCCCTCCAGAGATAGATTGTACATGGCCAACATCACCACCTGCCAATGTAAAGAAAATGTTGATGGTTGTAGATGAAGCTGCTAGATCTCATGCATCATGATAAATATCATAATTATTATTACTATATCAAGCAGCTGCTGAGATGCAGCTCTTCAGTCTGATGAACGTTTACCTGCTGCCAGGTGAGTCTCATCCTGTCGAAACTCTCCTTCCCGTCCTCGGAACAGTCGCAGCAGATGAACTTAAAGAAGTTGTCTCCCTTCAGGTAACTGGGCTGTTCGCCGCGGAGCTGAGCTGAACAGAGTCCATTAAATTCATCAATCCATCAGGAATCAATACTCTTCCATCATCGTGCAGACACAGCAAACAAACAGCTGCAGCTAAACCATCGGTTCTGCTCGGAGCGTTCTCATTGGTTGTCTCACCTGCAGGCGTCCACTTGTGGCAGCGGTCGCAGTAGAAGGACATGTCCTCGCAGGCCCAGCTGCTGTCGGCCTCCTCGCCCACATCACTGGTCAGAGAGTCTCCGCTCTGGTCATGTGACAGATCCACTGAGCCCTGATCCTCCGACTCCACTATCAGCAGCGTCTCCCCCTCCACCTCCCCCTCCTCCAGACCCTCAGAGGCCGACGTACACGCCGCCTCATCCTCACCCGCCCCCAGCGGCTCACTGCTGCTGTCCATCACTGAGCCTCCGGTTCCCAGAATGCACCTGGAAGCATGGACAGAGGGACAGTAAGGGATGTGTCAGTAGGTCGAGATGGACTCGGTCTCACTAAGTCTTGATCCTCTGATGTGATCACAGGTGAGCAGGGGGCGGGGCTTACCTGGCTCAGTGCCCCTCCTGTGGGCGGAGTTCTGTCCCTCTCCTCCTTCAGGTGTCTGCTCAGAATCTTCTGCTCCTCCAACCTCCTCAGATTCTCCTTCTTCCTCTCCCAGCGCTCCAGGTCCCTGACGACACCTTCGTGGAGCCGCTGGAGACACGTGACAGATATTATGATAGATTACACTCTCTATAAGATATTATACATAGATGTATTTATATAGAGTGATCGGAAGTGAACAGTGTAAAACCTCCCGAATCATCAAAACTACAAACTAACAATAAAGTTCATCAACGCTGAAGTGAATCTAATGAGCAGGCAACCTGAGGCAGGAAACACTGACCTTCAAAATAAAGTCCGAGCAGGTTTTAATCAGGTTTGAATTCATCGATGATCCGAATGATTGAACTTTATTTCACTTACTTCTCAGATCAGACATCAGCTTCAGTTTTATTTTCAGTTTCTATGACAACAAGAGAAAATCAGCTCATGGACCAGTTTTCTGAAGACAACTTTTATTTTGAAAAGCCAGTTTAACCTGCCTGAGCATCGTGTTCTGTGTTTGTTTGTTTATTTCTTTATTTGTTTGTTTGTTACCGAGAAAGATCAAACGATGATGCAGCTTCTCCGGTAAACAGCGTCGGAGTTAAACGGTGAAACGGTTCCTCCGCGTCCGGTGACCCCCCGCTCATTAACATGCTAACTGTAACATGCTAACTGTAACATGCTAACTGT